CTCCTCGGGAATGAAACTGCCTCTAAAAAAAGGAGCGACCGGGCGGTGCTCCCCGGCCTGGGACTCCTACGCGGGGCTCCCCGGCCCCCCGGGATGGCTGCGGAGAGGAGGGTTACCCCCACCGCGCTGCCAGAGGCGTCCCGGCTTGCTCGGCCCCGGCACCCGTGGGCTCCACCGTGACCCTGGTGCTGCTCCCCGGCCACCTCCGGCCCAGCACGGTCCCTGTCCCGGCAGCTATTAGGCACCCGGCAAAGCACCTCTGCAGCGAGCAAGAGCCCTGGCACCGAGATCCAAAGGGCACAGCACATTTCTCCACCTCTCCTTTTGTTTTAGATGTTGTTTTTTTAACAAATATACATAAGTATTTTAAATGCACACTCACGGGGGATGCTGCTCTCACCGGCGGGGGGGCTCTGCACCACGGGGCTGCAGGAGAGGCTCGTCAGCACCATGGCTGCCACCATCTCGTCCATCTCCACAGCGGCGTCAGCTTTCCTGCACCACGAGGGGAGAGATGTGAAACGCGTGGAGGAAAAAGCAGAGAAACAGCCCAGGTATGACCTGGGGAGTCACCGAGCACCCAAAGGGCAGCACAACCTGCAGCAGCAGCACAGGATTCCCCCCCCACCGCCTCCCTCCATAAACTTTGAGTCATTTTTAAGTCACTGGGAAGGATGTTTTCTCCCCATTTGGAGGAAAAAAAAAACCACAAACACTTAACCCTAAATTTAACCATCCTCTGGATAATCCCGTGCTGGGAAGGTGGATATATCCCCAGCACCACCGCTCCCTCCGTTGGTGTAAAACCAAGTGCGAGTGCTGCCGGAGCCGCCAAGAGCCCTTCTCCCGCCTGAGTGAGATAGCACCAAAGGCACAAACCTCTTGGGTACATCGATATTGCTGGATACGGATCTCTGGAGCGCCTCGGCAGGGCCGGGACCGGCGGTGGCGGGCAGGGTGGGGGGCTGGAGCACAGCCGGCTGCACATCCTGCACCCTCCAGCAGGCCTGCAAGCCCTGCTCCGGCAGCAGCACCTTCACCTTGTCGCTCAGCGGGTTGTGCTGCTCCACGAGGCCGGCGCACTCCTGCCCGTTGTAGGTGACAAGGACCTGAAACCGGCACAAGGAGGGGTTTGTCGGTGCCACCCACCAGGGGATGTGCTGCCGCAGCACCAGCAAGCCTTTGCCCGCCGCAGGATCCCCCCTCCTCCTCCTCCTCCCGCAGTGGAGGGGGCCACAGAGGGCTTTAGGATGAAGGCAGAACCTGACCTGAAGGGCTTGGACTTCAGACTGCTGTCACAGCAAACCAAAGGGGTGGCCAGGGTTCATCCCAACCCCACCACCAAGAGATCTGCTCTTCCCAGGCACAAGCTCCCCAACTCCGGCAATCCCAAGTTGAGGGATTTCCTTAGCCGGTATCGGCCACCTCTCTGAGTGTCGTGACTTGGGGTGGACTTTTCTCCACTGAATTTGTCCACTTTGGCTTTGTTCTCACGCCACCCTGCTGCAGGGACTCCCACAATTATTACGCACCCTGGCAAAGTACGTAGATAAAAGGATTAAAAGCCGGAGGGGGACGGAGGTTTCCTGGGTGAAGCGATCCTGAATTCACACCTTGACTCCTCCAGTCCCAGGTCCTTCGGGCAGGGGAAGAAGATGTGCAAACCTCACCTCCTCCTTCACAGAGTCCCAAACTCCTCCTGATGGGCAGTTTTCCACCACTACCACCCATGAGCCTATTTCTGTTAATGGAAATGTATCCGTGTCAAAAGATTCTACATGTGTCTCCGGCTATTTATAGGAACAGGAACATCTCTTTATGGAAGTGCCACGGGTATCCTACCAAGAAGCCGACATGGGATGGACTCGTGCACCCATACCCTGACTGGGGAGGAGCCTGCGAGACCATCTCATGGGTGGGACCTCCGGCAGCAACACCGGGGTGGAAAAAGCCACCCACGGCGGGACCAGGGTTAACAGTATCAGTGCAAGGATCGGGATGCAGAAGACCCTGACCCTGCCTTCTGAAAACAAGGAGCAAGGCTTCCCCGTAAACCACACGGGCCGTCCCCCAGACCGTGCACGGCACGAGGAGCCAACATCTTCTTCAGCTTTGCACAGCCACCGGCACAGGTCCCGGCTGTCACTGGGAGGCAAAGGCACCCCATCACTAGTTTTATGCTGTTCCCAGTGGCAAAGCAAGCAAGCAAAATCCTCCACAGCGGAGCACGTAGGAGAAGACAACTCTCACTGTCCTGTGGTTAATAAACACGGGGCAGGAGGAGCCAGAAAACCAAACAGGGGACTTATTTACACTCCATTTCACAAGCTCTGCCCAGAAAAGGTTTTACAGTTCTCTGCAGGTAGCAGCCAAGAAACGGGCTCTACGTCAGCAGCTCACAGCTCCCCTCGGACAGTGCTGCTTGGCCAGGCATTAACGGGAACCGTTCCGGTGGGATCGAGAACGAGCGCTGTTCCCTGGCCAAGGCAGCATCCCGGCCAAGGCACGGCCCTCCTAAGCATCAGGAGCCCAGGGCACAAGAAATGGCGGGGTCCAGCAGGACTAGATGTCCTCTCTGGCCGAGCCATCACATCTCCCTCTTCCCCAAGAGCTTCTTCACCACATATGACTCTCGGTAATTACAGACCCCCACTGCACCTTACACTGGGGAGAGCCCCCAGAGTTTTCTCCCCCACCGGAGCGCATCCCACCAGCCAAGGACACCGGGAACCTCCTTACGTACTTGCTGCCCGGCACGGAGCTGCCGGCGGCCGGGACTAGGGAACCTGGGTGCCTGGCTGCTCTCCTCCGCTGACGGCACGCAGGATCCGTCCTCTCGCGGCGGCGTGTGGGCAGACGCCCGGCCGAGGTCAGTCTGCAAGCCGGGGATCTGGGTGGCCACCAGCACCCCCTCAGCCAAGGCACCGGGGGCAGAAACGCGGGTGCCTAGCAGGGAGCGCTTCCCCAGGCGCCTGGACAGCACGCTCGCCATCTCGGACACGCTGCAGAAGAGGAAGACATGGGGATGTTACCTCCGGTGCAGGACCGTGACGTTCAACCGGTGTCTTCCCCCCACCGCCACCCTGGGAGCCGAGAAAGCAGCTCTCCGCTGCCCCCC